TTTTTTTTTTTTTTTTTTTGCAGTTGATGACTGCCTACTCCTTGAGATTAAATTAATAAAGTTCTCCGAGACAATAAATAAGGCTAAATAAAGTGAGGATGAGTGTAAAATTTTAAATTAAATTAAAATAGCATTACTTATTATGCATTTACTGTATAAAATAAAAGTAAGAATCACCTTACCTTGGCAGTGACTCCAAATCCGAGAGGCAAATCATTCATGTTGTACACGACAACTCCTTGATGGGATGTAGCTCCTTCTGTCATTCTACTCATACCTGACTTCAGTATATTATTCCCGTACAAAAATTGTTGTTCTGCACTCGGTTTCACCCAAACTTTGCACTAAAATTTGATTTATCTTCCCTTCTGAATTAACAAAATACAACAAAGTTCATAGACATCTGGGCCAAGACTTTACTCCCTTATTTTTTACAAACTTACCTTAGCATAAGGAGCGATGTAATCAAGTGCAGTAATATGCATCCGAAATCTTTTCGTCTTAGTGAATTTCCCCAAACATGTTCCAAAACTGAGCAATGTCTCTCGAGATATGGAAGCTGCTTTCCTCATCAAAGCTTCGTTGCAATAATATATGCGATCCTTAAAATTCAACACTAATTTTGAAATCAACTAGAATTTAGTTACTCTTTCGTAACATTATATATACCTTATGTAACCTTAAACAGTATAGCGCGTCTTCCCGTTCAATTAGTGACTTCACGTTATCACCTATATAGTGCGCTAGCTTTCTGAACACCACCTCTGTCTCTTCATCTGAGAGTGGTCGCATCCTAAAAATTAGTAAAAACACAACAGAACTTTCACAAAAGTAGCCTTAATGATATGATTCCAGACAAGTTATTTTCCGATTGATTCCAGATGAAATCCTGACAATCTTACTCGATTCACCTCGAACCAGATTTCAACAGTACATGAAAGGCAAGATACGATTCAATGTACGTAAAACTGAATACTTACAATGGCAGAAAAGGGAAAGACCCATAAGTTTGAAAGAAATAGGTTAAAATGTGTTTATTCGCAAGAGTAAAAGCACTACAAGTAAAATGAAGGACAGAGGTACTCCAGTAATTATTCAACGCATTAATTTCACGCCATACAATTAAAACTCAATAACAAAACAATGAGTACGACATGACTTGTAATCTGCAAAACATATAAAGTATAAAGATAAACTCGTCGTTTCATTTCTTATTTTAAGGATATAGAAATGGAAATAAAGGAAAGAAGTGATACTAAGTATCCTCCAACTCAATCATATTAATTTGTGAAATCAAAGTAGAATCAGCAATTATTTTATTTGAAGACGCTTTATCAACAAGTAATTGATATGAAGAAGGTTTCGACTCCAAAATTGATTGCGCTTCAAGTAATGACAATGCTCCGTGTATTTCATCCACCTCAAGAGCTGGTAGCAATAGTCGTTCACAAACTTTTCCATACGCCGACAGTAAATAACCTTCAGAAATAAACTTTTCAAAAAATAAGAAAATAGATGTTAAACTAAATCAAAAACGTGCAATCAGCTGAATGTATTTTGCAAATTAAGAGACCCAATTCCAATACCTTTAATCACGACAAAAAAGAATACGGTCTAAGCAAAGAAGCAAAGGGTTCCATAAAAGTTAGATCAAATATCAAATCTTAGAAAGGAAAAAATCATTGAAAATCACAAAAAATTTGAAATTTAGGCCTTAAAATAAGAGGAAAATTAATAAGCCTTCAACGCTTTTTAAGGAAACTTTAGGCTGCTAAGAAA